AGTTCGACACCCCTGCCATAAACATTTGAAGTATGTCCTATAGAGTGTGTTTGAACACTCTGGATACTACACTAGCCAAGGCAGTTGGTCTATAGTTGTCAATGCTAGATGTCTTTCCTGTTTTATCTTACTACTGGCACTAAGATGACAGACAGTGTGCAATCAGGTAAGACACCGAGTTTTATAAAACATGTAAAGCACAAAGAAAGCAACACATGAGCTCTCCGACTCGTGCCCTTCACATGCTCTGCTGACAGCGGATCGGGGCCAAAGGCTTTGTTCAACAACATTTTATCAGTAGAAAGATACACTTGCAGTAACCCCATCTGTAGCTGCTGGCACTAAAAACTTAATATTTTTTAATATCCTTGATTTCCTTCCAGAAACCAGTCACATTGCTGTTCTGTAGCTTATTAGCAGGGGAATCAGCCTGCATTCTTTGCTCATTCTTTTTTTATAAAGCGGACAGCTTTTTTGAATGTAATGTTTGCCATTTTTAAGCTCCAGCATCACTCCAGAGCTCGGTTTTCCAGCATCAAGCCAGTTCCTATATGCTGTTCTTGATCCAGCATAGTGCCGAGGCACACTCCAGCCAGCCTGGTTTTGGTTTATGGACAGATGTCTTTCTTTGACACAAGAACTTACCGCCACTATCCAAATAACATATATTGGTATGCAGAGTAGATCTCATTTATGTGTTCCACATTTTTACAATTAGCATTTTTACATAGGAAGGTTTCCCTGGCTATGCTGATACTGCTCAAACTTCTATCAGACAAAAAAAAAAACAATACCTCGTAATATCTTGGTCGGACACTTTAGCCCAGTTTGGCTTCTGTTTGTGGGTCGAACTTTCATGCCTACACGTCTCTGGCAGATTACCGTGATTCAGCTCGATATACACTGGAATATGATCAGTTGTTCCTGAGCAACATAGAATCTCTACCTTAGTGATGCATTCATGTGCATCAGTAGAGCAGCAATGAAGCCAAGATGTTGTTTGCCAAGCTTCGCTAACATATGTGTGACTATCAGCAGGCGACTTTTCTTTTGTTGAGAGAATCCAATTATTACTCTGACAAAACTGCACTAAATGCTGCCCAAAGACGTACATCAGATATATCAGCATTTATATCCCCAAAAATAAAAATACAATTACATTCACACTCATTAGTTTAGCCAAGTACTCATCTTCATTTTGCTGACACTCAAAAGGAGTGTAAATAGTCCACCTCTAGCCTTATGACTGATATATAGGGGTCGTATTCCTTGCGCCAGAACGTGGCCACCCCTCCAGTTATTCTACCATGAGTTATTCCAGATTTAATATCTGTGGTGGACTCTCCTGCACCATAAAAGTCACTACGTAAAGAGTCTAATTGGTCCAAGTTCTGTTTAGACAGCATAGTTTCTTGTACGCACAGGATATCTGTGCACTCCAGCAGCTGATCAATAACAATACGACACACTTTATCCACATCTCTAGGCACAGACCACGGGAGTTATATGCAACAACTCATGTATTAGTTTAAATTAGATCCCTCTGTTACAGCAGCATCCACATCAGCCTCACCCTCGTATCCATCATGTGTGGGCCTTTATGCCCTACTAAACGTTGCGTTGTATTTGGGCAGACTTCAAAGAGGACCTTTTTGGACGCCTCGGTCCACTCCGATCCAAAATGATTCACAGCCAGGGAGGTTAGGTTCAAACTTTTCATTTTGATGACGAGAAAATCAAAAAACTCGTCCTCCACAATAGTTTTGCCTTCAGAAGTACTATACACTTCTGGTCTCACTCTGGTTTTGGTAAGAGCAGTCCCAGCTCGCACCCCACCCGTGTCCCCTATGTCGCTGCCGCTGCTGCATTACTGTCTGCTTCACAAATTAGTTTTATAAAAGCTAATAATGAATGCATTTTAATAATCTGGTGCTTTTTGTCTGCTTTAAGATGTTTAAAGGTTTTAAATGTTTCTAGGCCTGCACAATATATAGCAAATATATTGATATCGCGATATCAGCATGCACAATATGCATATCGCAAAGAACAGATCAAAGAACAAATATTAATATAATTATGCAAAACAAATACATTTAAATATAAAATCCCTTCAGGTAGGCTAGAAAGGTCGATAGCAATCCCACGTGATCTGTTTTCAATAATATGCCGGGTGTAACCGCAGGCTTCACAAAACCAGGCTCATCATCTGCACATTTACGTACTGCGACATCCGTTCTGATGTTAGGACCTTGTGGCGTTATATGGTTAGCACACACAGACTGCTGATTAAAAAGCTGTTTTCTGCATTTTGTGGCTCAAAGGGGAAAAACATTTCAAGTCTAACAGATTGGACCAGTAATGAATATTCTTTGTTTGGTTTTCTTTTAAATGAAGGAAGTCTGGTGGGGTTTTCCATAATAAGACGACTTTGATGTTTTATACTTGCTTTGTCTGTTGGAGGCGGCATGTGCACCACTGTGAACTTTATTTTTTTCTTAAACAGTTTAACCTAAATTCGCTATGTGAGTTCTGGATTAAATGAGTCTTACGTTGGCTTAGTGATGCATTACATAATATGGTTAAACAGTTGTTATTAAATAGTTTATTAATGCTTAATAATGCATCAAGTAATGTAACTAAAGGGGCCCTTACTGTAATGCAGGGGTACTCAAATACTACAAATAATACTGAAATACTTGTGGCCGGAGTACCACTGCTGTAAAGTGTTACCAGATTGTTATAAACTTCAGTTACTTCCTGTCTCTCCAGTTGAATTAGAAATGTTGTTTAAACTATAATACATCATCTTATAAACATGTGAAATTGATCAAGTATAAATGTGGTTCATAAAGTAAGAGAATTAAATCAAGGTTCATCAAAGTGCAAGAAAACCAACGAAAAGAAACTCATCGTTGTCGGCAGGATTCGAACCTGCGCGGGGAGACCCCAATGGATTTCTAGTCCATCGCCTTAACCACTCGGCCACGACAACTGTCGCTTCCACCTCGAAGCTGTTAGTTTAAATCCAAAATTTTATATGAGAACACTGTATTTGTTCAATATTTTGGATTGTTTATTTTCAAATGTTCAACGTCTGTCAGATTATTAGATCTTGTGTCTGAAATTGCCGTCAGAGCAACACGGAACGGATACCCGGTGCAGTCATGACGCTGCATCGACTACAGCACCACCTGGTGGCCTTTGACACAAGTTGCAACAAACTGGTGTCTGTTATTTCTGTTGAAGCAATGTGCTCTAAACAGATGCATCCAAGCATGAATCCTGCAAGTTATTGAATATGAGTTGCAACATTGGATTTCCCTCTGCCACACAGTATTTTTGAAATTAATTGAAATTGACTTCCTAAATGTTAACGTTTCTTAATGATGTTGCATAATTATACTGTACTGGAACACAGTTTCATTGACCCTCATTCTGATTTATGTTTCATTTTAACACCTAAATCAAACAATCCAAAACTGAAAAAACAAAATCAAATGACATCTATGAAAATATGTGAAAAATGAAATGGAGAGGAAAATATGTTCAAACGTATCCATCTTTGCTGTCTTGTAGGGGGATTCACAGCAGCATGTATTGATTGGACTGCATTGCTCTGACCCCTTGCAGCATGAAGGATTATGGGTATTCAGCCAGAGGAAGTTGCATTCAGTCCTCTGAAAAGCAGAGGTGATGTGTAGGTTGAATCGTGGTCAGATTAGTGGCTTTGCTTAAATTTTCTTTATTCTTAGAAATGTTGGTTTTGCTGTGTGCTTCAGCTCCTAATTTGGTAATCACCACACCTTCTAGCACTAAGTTTTCTCCCCGAGTATCAATTCAACTCAATCATGTATTTATTGTTGTGTGCTGTTCAGGACTGATTTACTTTTCTGAGGCCTTTGAAAATCAAAATGGAATTTATTATTTTAGGCAGGCCCACGGTCTTGAAGGAATAATATGCCTTTTCATATTTTTAAATGATTTTCTTAAGACAGAATGTGCTAAAATGACCCTTTAAAGGGTTAATGAAACGTCACTCACCCTACTGCCCTCTGTGGACAGCATACCGGGGTTCTTTTTATCTCGCTTAAAAAAATTGGAATGGGAGTGAGACTGCAATAACTATTTTCAAACAATTTTCAGAATCCTTCAATCATTAATGGTGAGGATGTTGGAGAGGATTCTTGCACGCTTTAATAACGTCCTAACGCCGCTTGTAGTCAAAACAGAAACCTCCTTCTACCAGTTTAGGCACAGTCACCAAATAGCAGTAAAAGATAGTGTGACAGGGTGAGTGTCACTGCATCCCGACTGATCGTGCAACCTTGCTACTTGGCCAAAGGATGCGTGTCTCTTACCCGCGAGTCTGGGGATCGAATCCCACCCGGGCCCTCGTTTCTCCGCCTTGCCACATTTGGCGTTGTTGGCAGGATCCATGTAGTACTGTCAAGTAGGTCCATGGGTTTGAAGTTTGTGGCACCCTGCGCGGGAGCACGAGGACGTGCTTGTGGAAAGAGGGGGGAAGATGTGACAGGGTGAGTGTCACTGTATCCCGATTTGCTCATGCACCCTGGCTACTGGGGTGCATGGTTGGTGCGTGTGACTCTCACCTGGCGGTCTGGGCCCTCGTTTCTCCACTTTGCCACAACAGGTGTTATATTCTGGATCTGTTTGTTCGGATGCATTCGAGCAAAAGTACTCACCACTGCAAAAGTAATTATTTTTTTGTCCTAAATGGTTAATAGGCTTGGATACAACTAGATAAGTGCAGTCCCCTTTGGGGAAGCCGATGATTGGCTCCCCCGGAAGCCTTCAAGTGACACACGCAGGGACCCCTATAAAAGATCCAAGAGCTTCCTCGCTCTCATGGAGCTTCAACAGAGGTAATAGGATGGATTACTCCACCCCTTCTCACCCCCCCCCCCCCCCCCCAGAAACCTGTGTAATACAATATTGTTGTGACAATCATATTTACACAACGCACACACACACACAGCATGTTACATTTCGTGATATAAATTATTTATTTACATTTACAGAAAAGAATGACCCCATCAAGACAATGTCGTAGTAACTATTGGAAATAGAACTCAGGAAACAGTAGCCGACGTCATCGTCACAACCTAACGAAGAGCTCTATTGTGCCCTCTGTCAAAAATCTCCTATAACACAAGGTGCAAGGCATCACGTGTAGCCCCGAACCCCCCACCCCCGCCCCATTCCCAGACTGAACACACACTGCATTTAAAGCCCAGTACCCTGCTTTGCACTACCCCGATTTGCTTGGTACCCCTCATCTACAAAGAACAGAGGCCGGCTAGTCCGCCCTTACCAAAACACACACACATACTCACACATCTAAGAGACACTCACACACACTCACATTCTGTGTCCTAAACACTCCCTCCCTCCCCTCTCCAGAATTGTTCCGTCTTTCTGTAAAAACAAAATCCTCTGAAAAAGGTGCAAGGACACACGTTGGTGTCTGTAAAGTTGGAAGGAGAGGTTGGCAGCGGCTGATGACATCATCGTCCCAACGTGCAAGTCTCATCGCTCACTGCCGTGCCAGCCCAGTCTCTGCAATGCCGCCGTCCTCTGTGGGCATTTACACATTTCATTTGGGAGAGAGGGAGAAGAGTGAAGGAAGGCAGATGCTAATCGTCACGCTTGGCCTACAAAGGGGGAACATCTATCGTCACAGCGCTCCATAGTGTGAGGGGGGCTCGTTCTAGCGTGTCTGGGCTCAGATAAGTCGAGTGGAGGCGCGCATGGTGTTCTCAGAGCTGAAGTGGACATTGTTCTGCTTCTGCCGGTTGATCCTGTTGGTCCGTGGGCACTTCCTGTACAGAGAATAATGAAGAGGCACGATTTACTGACTTGTAACCAACTGAGCAGCACTCCACACAGAAAAAAGTACAACAAATCCCAATTCTATATTTGGTGTGTGGGGGGTTGAATCAGCACGATTTTTGTGGCATCATCCAGAAACAACATGCAGAAACATTCATCCCTTTTTCCTGTTTGTTATCCAAGGCTGAATTAGCCTAGCAAGCCGTCCTATACATGTAAATATATAGTCTGGCCATGACCCACATAGACAGAGCTCGATTACGAGGCAGAATCTATGATTGTCTGTTAATCTGTCTCCGCTCGCAATGGGACAGCGCCAGGACCAATCAGATGTATTATTAGCTACAGAAACCAGTAAAGAGGGGAGTTCGCCATAGGTCGTCAAAGAAGATGCAAATACTTCCTTTTTCAAAATAAAGGACTTCATTACCTCCATCTGCTCTTGTCTAAAAAAGGCCCGAGTCTAAATATTCCAAAGATGATGCCACAGTCCTTCTGAATGTGCGCCGTTCCTGAGCCGATGTAATCTTGATAACTTTTCTCATTGCAGTTCTGGACCTAAGCCCACCCAATGTCTCCACAGAGAGGGACGTGACTGGCCCAACCTCAGGGTAATGGTAGACCTGCTGAGGCTACAATGGAGCAAAGCTAGAAGAGCTAGATCTCTTGCCACTGCCACTACTTACCGTCTGGCTGAGTTGGATAGGAAACATCCAGAACAGAAACCCAAACCTTCGTCTCCCCAGGAAGTCTCTGCACCTCTTCCTGATTAGATCCCAAGGTATTCCCAGGCCTGACTCTCGGCCGTCTCCTAGAACATGTCAAGGAAACCTCCAGACAGAGGCGATCGGGATGTATCCTCATCAGACACCTGAACCATCTCAGTCGGTGGCTCTCTCTCAGGCTGGGATCACGGAACGCTACAAAGTTCCCTCATTTCAGCCACTTTTTCAGAGCTTTGCTCGTTTGGCTCAGCTGCAGAGAAAAGTCTAGTCCTTTGGCTAAATCCAATCTCACGAAACCCAAAGACACCTGAGGTTAAGGCAGACTCTCTCCCAACCCAGCGGTGTAATTTTAGACTTCACCCTCGGAAAACCGTGATCCAAAAACTTGTTTCTTTTCATCGAATGCAAACAGAACAAGTATAGCATAATGTGGCAACACCGTGGTTTCTGGTGAGGTTTTTATTTTCGAGCAGAGCTTTCCCTCGACGTGACAGAACGTCGTACACAAGAGGCAAAGAGCGGAGATGACCTTTTCTGCTCCCACCTGTTTGTCCTTTAAGTGAACAGAAAACAAGCAGAAATCCTATAAAACTCTGGCAACATTCATAAAATGCAACACAAGGCCTGCAGAGCTGGAGCACGACAATAATCCCCCGGTGTTTTCAGAGTCAATAACCCGAGCTCCTGCAGTTGGGCGGTGAACTCCTACAAGGTGTGTGTGTGTTTAAAATCTTTGTTAAATGAGTATCGCTGAGCTGCATGAAGCATCAGCGCCACCGGAGCTGCATTCGGCGGTATAAACTCTCCCTCTGCTTCTTTATCTCCCCCTTTCCCTCCTCACCCAGCTCCTTTACAGCTGCTCGCTCTTTCATTTTATCCCTCCTCCTCCTCCTTTTCCTCCTGCCCTCCTTTGCTCAGAGGAGCCGTTTTGTTTCAGCCAGAAGTCTTAAAATCTTTTATTAAATGTCATAAATTGCTACGGTCAGCCGGAGGCAGACAAGCTGCAGGCTACAACTATAAATGTGTGTGTGGGTTTTCCTTACCGTCTCACAGTGATTACATAATGCCTGTTAAGCCACAACCAGCACAGCTATCGCCGTGCCTGCCCTTGTGTGCACACGCAGCGTGTTTTCGGATGTGTGCGCCCTCAGGGAAAGTGACAGCACTTTGTCCCAGGGGTGAGGAGCTATGTGACCTTTCTGCTGTTTCCTCCAGGCTGCAGGAGCTTTTCGTGTCTAAATACTTGCACAGAATGGGAAATGTACCTCTAAAGCTCATTACTTTGCTGTGTTGGCCTGTTTGTGTGTGGGCGTGCATGCATGAGGTAGCAGTCGGACGTGTTGTGGGGACCTGAATCTGTCTGCACAGCATCGGAGAGTAAAGACACTTTGCTGCAGTTATTTAAAGAGAAAATATGAACTCTTCTTTTTTTATTAGCTGACTCCTCAAAATGACACTTGGCACCAAGTCGAGGGATTGTTTCCACCCACAGAAAAGTAGTGCGGGACATTAGACAAGACTATAACTTGTGATTTTTGAGAAAAAGCATGCAGATATCGTGGTTCTTAGAAGAAAGTTTTAACCTAAAAGACTTCAATCCACAAAATGGGATCGGATCCAAACACAACCATGTCCCGAAGCCGAGGCTTCCAAACCCACATCTGTGCTTCCAGTCATGATATGGGAGCGTCTTTATGGAGGCAAACAGTTGATGAAGATGATCAAATCTGAAGATGAGCATGTGTTTCACTAGGAGACGTTAACGGCTACAGCTGCAGTAAACATCTGTAAATGTGTGATTATAATGTTCTCTTAAGTTATGGATACACAATCTGGAGTGTGTGTGTGTGTGTGTGTGTGTGTTAGCATATGACTAACCTGGTAATGCAGAGCACCACCACACAGATGATGACCACCTGGAGGGCTCCGATGATAGAGGCGATGAGGACGTAGTGCAGTTTTCCGGACCCTGGCACCACGTAGAGCACGTTGTACTCTTTGATGTCACATTTAGGTCCCCTGAAGCCTGAGTGACAGCTGAGATCACACACACACACACACACACACACACACACACACACACACACACACACACACACACACACACACACACACACACACACACACACACACATTGAGAAAGACATGCAACACTTCCACCATGACTAAGATGCTTCCTGTCTCACTAGGATGAAGCCCCCGCTCTCCATCACCAGCAGGGGGCAGCAGAGGTCCTCCACACTGCCCCTCCTATTATCGGTGCTCTGTATTCAACACGAGTGTCTGGCGGGGACAGCCAGGCCAACCCAGGTTAAGAGAGAACTGAGACAGAAAGAGGGAGCAGGAGGCATAAAGACCCCGTGGCTACACACCTGAGCAATACGAAGGTGTGTGTGTGTGTGTGTGTGTGTGTGTGTGTGTGTGTGTGTGTGTGTGTGTGTGTGTGTGTACTAGGGGAATTAATAAAAGTCCTCATACATTATTGCATGTTTGTTTCAGTGCAGTCTGTGAATCTGGATGTTTATGTTTATTAGCACATGCTAACGTAGCTTAGCACTGTAAGCAGAATGTTTGTTTTTATAAATGTGCAAAGTGGCTTTCTGTTTGTCTGAGTCACAAATATACCCAGACATACTCCCAAGGTGCTCCAAGCCCAGAGAGGGTACAGAAGGTATGTTTCCACTCGAGCCAACGGAGCACCTGAGCTGGGGAAGGTACTTCCCGGTAGACATTCTGGTTAACTCACACTGACTGGCTGTAACTCAGAAGGAAATGCCATCGGCAACATTGCCTAAAAACCGCTATCTGTAAAATTTCAAGAGTTGCTGCTGAAGTGCAACAGAAGGAAAAAAAATGCTCACAGTTTTAAAATCGCTGTTACTAAACTTACAACACCCAAAAATACAGCAGACCCCCCCCCCCCCACACACACACACACACACAACACAGTAATTCAATAAATCAAAGCTTTATTTATAAAGTGCCTTCCACGACCCTGTCGGGAAGCCCAAGGCGCTGAACATGGTTCATGAGAAAGGTAAATATGATGAATAAAAGCAATTCAAATATTACAAAAACAGGTAAAACATTCTAGTAGAAGACAAATGGGTGAAACAAGGGATGGAGTGAACCAATGAAAACAGGGAAATAAATTCAACATAAAAGAGGGCCAAAATCAAACATGTTCTGGAAACGCCAAGCGGAGGAGGTGTGTTTTTAGGCGACTCTTAAAGACTGGCAGAGAAGGGGACAGCCTAACTGAGGGTGGCCACTGGTTCCAGAGTAACGGTGCTAGGACTGAGAAAGCCCGGTCCCCACGAGTACGACACCTAGAACGAGGGACAGCGAGCAGGCCTTGGTCAGAGGAGCGCAGAGCGAGTGATGGGGAGTGTCTGTTCAGGAGAGTGGCTAGATAGGGGGGAGCACCATCCTGGATGAAATGATAAACAAAGACGAGGAGTTTGAAGTGTGAGCGATAGCAAACCGGAAGCCAGTGCAGGGAGGCCAGAACCGGACTGATGTGGTCCTGTTTCCTGGTCCCAGTCAGGAACCTGGCTGCGCTGTTCTGCACAACCTGTAGGTGGCGCAGTGATGACTGATTCACAGGGCTTTGTGAAAAACGGCACTTCTTCTGGTCATTGAGCATCATACAGCCACTCTCCTGGCACTTCTACAGAATCAAACTTTTAAAACTATGTCCTCAGATACCTCTCGGCGCTCATCTGTGATGTCATCACCACTGAAGCAGTCTTGATCTGCTCACATAGCAAAGTCCTGAAAAGGCTGAATTTGTATGGAGACAGTGGCTGAGAGGACCGAGTCACCGTGTCCTCTGCTTACTTTTCTCTTGCCCAGACATTTCCGTAGAAACATGGCTAAATCCTCTCCAGTAAGTTCTGGGTCTTCCACAGGGTCTCCTTCCAGTGGGACATTTCTGGAAAACCTCCAGATGCTTGAACCACCTCAGCTGACATGTTTGATGTAGAGGACCAGCAGCTCGACTCTGAGGCCCCCCTCAGTGTAGGGAGCATTCCACCTTTCTCCAGTTAGGAACCATCAGATATGGAGGAGCTGTGGACAACCCCTCTGCAGTTTAAAGGTCATAACTTGGAGGCACCAACTGAATCACATCACCTGCAAATGGCACATACGAGATCCTGAGATTCTCCCACCAGACTGATCTTTTCCATTAAATTCATCCATCCATCCTTTTTTGGCCGCTTATCGGGGGTCAGGTCGCGGGCGCAGCGGCCGAAGCAGAGAGGCCCAGACGTCCCTCTATCCAGCCACTTGGGCCAGCTCCTCCACGGAAATCTCAAGGTGGTGTTTACCGGCCAGCCGAGAGACGTAGTCCTTCCAGCGTGTCCTGGGTCTTCCTTTAGGTCTTCTCCTGGTTGGATGTGCCTGGAAAACCTCACCAGGGAGGTGTCCAGAAGGCATCCTAATCAGATGCCCGAGCCACCTCAACCGGCTCCTCTCGACATGGAGGAGCAGCAGGTCTACTCCGAGCCCCTCCCGGATGACTGAGCTTCTCACCCTCTCTCTAAAGGAGATTCCAGCCACCCTGCAGATAAAACTCATCTCAGCTGCTTGTATTCGCAAAGTTGTGTCCATGAAATTCCACTCCGTTTCATCAGCCTTACGCAGCCAACAGGCTCAGGCTACACACACGTATTCTGAGATACTTCAGCCTGGCTCTAGTATCGTTACAAATTAAATCCAATTTTGCCTCATGGCTTTTAATAAAGTATTCCTGCTCATTTTTGTTCTTCCTTTCCCAAGGAAAGCCCAGACTGGGGTAAGAAGACCCATTATGAAGTTTCCTTTGAAACTTTAATCATCAAAGGTTCCAGCAGCGTTTACAAAAAAGACCCTCATGAAAAGTCACGTGGCATAAAACAAATAAAGTTTTTATTCTTGGATAAAAATCAGAACTAGTGTGTTTCCATGCTGTAACTCATGCTAGCAGATGGTTTTAACGTGCCGGTTAAAGATGGCATCAGAGTGGGAGAGAAAACAGAAACAAAGGTCTGGAACAGCTGCACAGCGCTGGAAATAAAGCTAATAAAGTCCATATTTATGTAACTGAATGTAAAGAGGGATTACTCTGATTAGTTCCCGGTGAGGTGAGGTTTTCCGAGCACGTTCAACCTGGAGGAAGCCTACAGGAAGAGCCGGGACACGCTGGAGGGACGGTGTTTCTTGTCTGACCAGGAACACCTAGAACACCACCAAAGGAGCTGACACTAACGTCTCACAAGAGGGAAGTCAGGGACTCTGCGTAGGATGCTCCCCCTGAGCCCCGGCACCCGGATAAGCAGGAAAATGAATGGTTAGATGTTCTGAGTCTGACAGGAGACGATCACTGCAGCGCAGTCGTTATGCATGACTGCACCACTTTGTTAACCTTTATTAAGTCTTATAGAACTGGCACAGTGTTCTTTTTAATTAATCAAGCACCTCATGCAGCTTGTTGGTTTGCAACAGCCAAGAATTCCTAAGTTTCCTGTTCAGCCACAGCAATGCATCATCATTACTTCATTCTTAGAGCGTAATTGGAAGCAAGCTGCTGTTTGGCTCTTTATGATTTGATGTGACCATTTATGACAGGAGATAAAGAAGTAATAAAACCAAAATTGTGTTGTATCATTGCTAGTTATTTCTGACAAACTACATAATTAACTCTTTATTAGTAATATTTATACCTCCAAAAAAAATCATCTAGTAAAATCAAATCAGTTTGGCTCCATCTGTGGATTCGGGTTGTTGTGTGATCATGCAACTTCCTGGAGATGCATCTTTCAGTCTGAGCCATTGATGTCATGTTTTCTGTGAACAGCACAGCTGCTTCAGAGCAGGAACGCACTTGTAAATCCATGAAGCATCGTTCTCTTTAATGATCAGCAGCATCATGAAGACCACCTGCCCCAGATCGCTTCTCCTGGCCAAAACAGCTGTGACCCATTGGGGTATTGGATGCAGGATGTCCGTTCTTGTTTGGTACCAAACGGGTTTAAGTAGATTTTTAGATACTCTTGAGTTATGAGGTTGTCTTTCTGACTCGTACCAAAGGGATCTGGGAATGCTCGGCCTGAACTTTCAATTGGATTTTAATGGTGTGTCAGAAAACGAGGGCCAGATTGTGACAGTTTCAGGACTAATGCTGAAGTTTAGGGGAAAATTCTTCAAATACATAAACTCGGACTAATGCATTTTTGCTCATACTTCAGTGACATGAGATTTCATGCAATGATGCAAAAATACCATTAACCTAGTAAGAATTCAATATGAAGTACCATTTACTAGGATTTTTTTCTTTATCAGAAACATGAGTTTCATAGTTTTCAGCTTTTACAAGAAGTCTGAAAAAATATTTGCAAAATATTTGTTTTCTAATAGTAAGGATTTTTGTCAGTGGTGTCATGAACAATAAAAATTCTACTTATCTCTTAGGCAGGTCAACCACTTGACTGTCGTCTATAAATGTGGTCCCTAAATTCAATAACTGCAAATAAATAAATAAATAAATAATAAAAAACAACAAAAACAAACAAAAAAAACCCATAAAAATAAATTAATTAATTTGAGATACATTTTATTTACCTGAATATTAACATATTTTTAGTTTTTTACAGTATAATAACCACGTATCATTTTCTTTATCACTCTAAATTGATAAATGGTGCAAAAAAAAGATTTTTGTTTGGTGTGGAAATTAAAAGGGCAGCCTTTTTTATTATTAAAGGTGCATTATGTAACAATGACATCCTGTGGTTAAATTTGGGTACTGCAGCCCTTTTTTTAAAGGTGTAGAACATTTGTTTAATCGACACATTTGTAGTGGTCTCTTGGAATGAATGCCTTGTAAGTGGTGCTCTGGGGAAACAAAGCACTGGCGCACCATTTTCAGGAAAGACGCAATGGATTCTAAGGGATACAAAAAATAACGTCTTAGTTGCTTCGGTTCTTTAAACAGCTCTGGAGTGATTTTTCTGCTGGTGTTGAATTATAAATGCCGGCGCTGCTGCGTTAGATCGGCACAGACTCAACCCCACGTCCCTCCTTGACCAGTTTGAAAGGAGAGAAACTGACAACTTCCCAGCCGGCTGAGAAGGAAATCTGTTTCAATGTAACCTTCCTTCCAACATGAGTGAGATATTAGTGTGTTTTGTTATTATTTCACTGTAGAATTCTTACATATCACACCTTTAAATACATTTTTTCATTAATTACAAAAAACTACGCTTCTGTTTTTCAATACTAAATATTGAGGACTAAAATGTACTTTACCAAATGTCAAAGGGTTAATTCCATGCATCTGTTCTGTTTACAATTAGTCATTCTTTCTTAGGATAAGCCAGATGTTAACTGGCTTCAGCAGAATTACATGACATCACTATCATGGATCTCCAAGCAGCTCAACCAGTCCAGATACATTCCTGCAAGCCAGATCGCCCCAACAACACTAATTGTAGCCTTAATTGCAGTGGTTTGAATGTTGTGGCTGATCCGAGCATTCACTCCACTCCACCCAGCTCTTTTGCCACTTCGTGCTGCTGCACATGTGCAAACCACAACGGGAGTTGTGATTGGTGATGCCCACACAGTCCGCCTTGCACACTTGGAAGCAGAACCCAAGATCATAAGGCGTGGGGCCAGGAACGCCAACATCCTCATGAAGCAGTGAGACATCCAACATGGAATTAATTTGAAGCAGAGCAGCATGTTTGACTGGTCACGGGCCCGACTTACTGTACTGCCACAGCAGGAGGCATCTCCGACACTTGTACCTCTCAACACATTGGCTTACACTCACTAAAAACTAACAAGGCTGATTAAAACGTAAACGGATTCCAGCATTTGCTAGTGACTGTTAGATTTTACAGCCTATTGGCAAACTTACAGTACATGCTTTTCAATTTTAGTTTCCATAACTGAGGGAAGACCAACAATTTGTGGTGGGAGAAAGCTTTGTTTATAAATCGACCCTGTAAACTTTAATTTGACTGTAACACAAGAATCGGTTGAGCAATCTTCCTCCAATTGGCAGACATTGCACACCTCATTGCCTTCTTGGTGTGTAGAGTGCAAAAAAAAAAAAACAAGCACCATGAGTGTGTGTTTGAAGGTGGGAATGAGAAACACACTTTAGAATACTCCGTAGAATCAGGATTTAAATGGTGCTATACGAGTGTGCACCATTCACTGCATTTTATTACACCATGACTTCTACAATACCAAATGTCGTAAAATAATTTCAGTATGGCTGATTTTACTGCAGTGTTGTAGTGTTACACCACAACTTAGTCCTAGCAATAGGAATCATTTTTAAATGACCTCATGGCACTTATTTATAAATCACAAGAAGTGGTTTAAATATTCCCCGAGACAGAAAGAGACTAGCTAGTCATAAAAAGCTTGGTTCTGGCCTGCTAACTAGATTCAGTTGAGATGTGAGAAAGAAAGTCGCTGGGGAAGATGGCCTCCATCTTGGAAAACCCCTCCTATCCATTGCATTCCACTGTGGGCAGCTCCTCCAGTGGCAGACTGAGACATCCCAGATGTAAAACAGAACGCTACCGTAGGCCATTCCTCCCTTCTGCTGAATGCATACGTCCTCAGTTTAACTGGTACTGGTATTGTTACACAGTAACATCAGTGTAATATTCACTATGTGCAGGAGTTTTAATACCGTTCTGCTGAAAGGGACTGAACAAATGTACCAGCTGTTAGCCACCAGTTAGCATGCATGGCAGTAAAACATGAATCGTACTACCCATAAGCATCAGTAAGAATGAACTTCCAAGTCTGCGTGGAGCAGTCTAGATCAGATGCTTTTAAAAATGTTGGCTTTTTGAGAAAGCCAAAGCAAAATAATTTTGTCTAGCCACGCTCCATTGTAGTCCCAGCAGATCTACCATTGGACCAATCAGCTTTGTGTCATGTCAGTCACAGAACCCTATTGGTTTGATGTGATGGAGTGGAACAACTAAGATGGTGGCTGTTATTTTGAAACAGCATCAACATTATCCCATTTAGATTTGGGCTTTTCTTTGAGTTGGGAAGATAGATACTTAAGTCCTTTTATTTAGAAAAAAATATGTATTTGATTCTTCTTCAAGAGTATATGGCAGACTGTCCCGGTGACGGACATCTTTAGTGATGAGTACGTCACGTTGTTTGTTGTCCAATAGCATGTGGAGACAGTATGAAAGACAATATGGACTCCACCCTATGACTGAGCTCTGTCAGTGGGTTGTAGCCAGACTATATATTCACATAGACAGGGTGGCTTGTCAGGACAGCGTTTCTGTTAGCTTATTAATGTAAGTTATAGGAGCATAACTATGTGAAGCTGTTTTTGAAAAGTTTCATTCTCATGTACAACCAAAACATGTTAAAGCGCATATTTCTAGAATCTGAAAATGGCCTTACCTTTTGGTGGTGGTTGACAAAAGATGGCTTGGGGTGTCCAATGTAGCAAACCAAAAGTCTACGCTAGGGCTATTCAATTCCGGGCATCAGGGGCCGGTATCCAGCACGTTTTAGTGCTTCAACACACCTTATTCAATGAACAGGTTATTAATAAGCTTCTGCAGAGCCTGATGAGCTGCTGCACAGGTGACTCAACCACTGAATCTAGTGTGTTGGACCAGAAAAACGACTCAGGCCCTGTCCACACGTAGCCGGGGATCTGCCAAAACGTAGATATTTTTCTACGTTTTGGCCCGTCATCCACACGAAAACTGAGTTTTTTCACACGAAAACGGATCTTTTTAAAAACTCCGGCCAAAGTGAAGATCTGCGTTTTCTCCGTTTTGGGTGTCTGCGTGTGGACGGACAAAACCGGAGTTTTAAGGTCCGCAACGTCACTTTCCACGACAAAAAAATGCTGACATCACGTGTGCGACCTGTGTTTACACTAGCCGACAGCATGGATGCCCTCAGAGCTGCGCTCGCTTTATCAACTGTCCAAGCGCTTTCTGCTTGTTTGTTTTTGCAAGAGGAATTACTGCTCCTTGCGGAAGACCACAGACAAAGGACGAGGTTAAGAACGGGGGAAGTACTGCCACCTACAGGTCTGGCATGTCCTTAACAACGTATTTATCCGGGTACGTGTGGACAGAGTTTGTTTAAAACGAGGCGGTGTGGATGCAAGTTTTTGGAGGGGCGGATATTCGTTTTAAAAAAAACCCGGCTACGTGTGGACTAGGCCTTAAACACGCTAGATACTGGCCCTCAAGGTTGGAAGTTGAATAGCCCTGGTCTACGCCATCTCTGACCTGCTGTCTTATGCAAATGAGCAATTCTCTAGTGGCCATGGAGTAACAGTCCAGTCTGGATAAAGCTGTGATAACACATCATTGGAGCTGTAGCCCACTTAGACACACCCCCTTAAATGTGCGTGTCCCAACCACTTCATCATCAGTTATATTCAATTTCAATTCAGTTTATTGATATAGCACCAGATCTTGACAAGAATCGTCACAAGGTACTTCACAAAGTAAACATTCCAATTTAGTTCAGTTCATTAAGCCAAATTAGCTAAACGCTTCCTGTTTAAGGAACCTAGCAGATTGCATTGAGTCAATGCTTTGTGTGTCGATGTCATTACAGCAGTCCTCATACTACGCAAACATGTAGCGACAGTGGAGAGAAAAACTCCCATTTAACAGGAAGAAACCGCCAACGAATCCTGGCTTAGTATAAGCAGTCATCCTCCAGTAATATATAAATGTTGGGGTAACGCTAACAGCAGACCAATGCTGGCCCGAGCTACTGCAAACGCTATCCTGGGCTACTGCCAATGTCCTTGTTGGATGAGAGGGAATCAACAAAGAGGAATGTCAGAGCGCACATGTACTGTTCCAGGAGGTTCTAGGAACAGCCACACTTTGAATGAATGGCAAATTGTTCCATAGCTTGCCTGTTGCATTTTTCCAAATCGGATCTCTGCTGTAGAGTTTCAAGCTTTAGGCAGCGTCATAGATCCATTGAGGTAACCTGGCTAATCAGCATGCTTCATGTCCTGGCCGAGTGGGCGAAGTGAACCAGTCTTTTTGGATTGGGGGTATTTGGCCATTTATCAGGGCTCCGGGGCCATTGTGAGCCCCAACAGTCTAATATGCTATATAGAGGCTCAAAGAACAGTTTCCTTTAAGGAATGCTTTGTTGTGATCAAACTAATGTGGGAGATGCAGAGACTGACCCAGATGTGTGAATTCATACCTGCAGGAGGGTTGGGACAGCCTACTGGGGAACTGGCACTCTCCGTGGACGCAGTAGTTTTTGTAGAGATCTGGACAAGGAATGTACAAGCCACTGGCCATCCCATTGCTCAAGTCATCCAGTTCCTCTCCTACAGAGACAAACACACGGACATGTTATTGCTAAAAGCTTGTATTCGCCTGTTTGCTCTGCAACAGACTATGTGACGGGAGGGAGAGGTGAGTAATAGAAAGGGAAAAAACAAGAACATAGAAAACGGATGATGATAAGAAAGTCTAATTCAGCTCTGACAGCTCGAGTTCTTTTGCTAATCCCCCACCCGTTACAGAAGCACTCACCCTTGTGGTCACTGTGTGCCAAGTGTCCATCGCCTTTGCTCCCAGGTTTGACGTCACCTGGAAAGGCCAAAGACGTGTTAAAGCAGATCTTGCGCCAGTGCAACTTCTCCTCAAACACCAGTCCCATCCACTAAACGTTCCCCCTTTTAACCAATGCCACTGCGAGCGGAGAAGTGTGGATGTGAATGATCATTTTAACAAAGGGCTTTCACGGCGTGCACCTGTGCGCCTAATACGTATAAATGCATCCCTCCTCTTCTGAAGCGGTCTGCGCTAATGCATTAGACCGAACAAAAGCAGAATCTGCAAGGAAGATCAGAGGGAATAATGCATTTTTCTCACCTTATTGATGCTGCGTTGAATTTTCTTTGCTGAACGGCTAAACAAACTCTTCAGATCATTATTGGAATGGATTTTTAAGAAGTCAGAGTTTGTGCTTTGAATTTAAAGTTGCAAAAGTAGACTAGTCAAAAAAATGAAAGGTTTGTAACTTCAAGTCAAATCAAACTATCCACTTAGGATAGTTGTGCAAACGGAAAAGGTGGAAATTATAAGCTATGGCAGGACATCCCCAACAAAGGAGTGGATCTGCAGACGGTGACCACTTCTCAGCTCCTGTTTCTGGCTGATGTTTTGGTCACTATTGAATGTCGGTGGTGCTTTCACTCCAGTGGTAGCGTGAGACGGAGTCTACAACCCACACAGGTGGCTCAGGTAGTGCAGCTCATCCAGGATGGCACATCAATGTGAGCTGTGGCTAGGTTTAATGTGTCGGTCCAGAGCCTGGAGGCACCACCAGGAGACAGGCCAGTATATCAGGACACGTGGAGGAGGCCATAGGAGGGCAGCAACACAGAAGCAGGACCTTTGTGCAAGGAGGAGCACTGTCAGAGCCCTGACGTCCAGGAGGCCACAAACGTGCATGTGTCTGTTTAATCCATGAGGGCGGTGTATGCTATATTTTGAAATTTTTCGGATGCTCATGTTTCATTTCCTGTCAAACCTGATTTGAACTGCTGAGCTTGATGTGTTCTGGGAGCGCAGCGCGTAAAAAATAGACCAACGGAGACCAACTTATTGACCATGACGGCGGCTGTTTGCTTCTTTACACACTACTCATGCAGCTGGTGGAAGGCAGAGGGTGTTTCTGCTTCTGCACAAGTGTTGGTTATACCAGTTCAGTCTCATTCCAGCTGAAAATGTACACACTTTGTTGTGATTTTTAGTTGCCAACGGTCGGCGCTGAGACACTGACTGAAGAGAGAACAACTGAACAAAAAGAAAAGAGACTGCACAGACTAAAGTTGTTGTTTGTGTCTTTTTGTCGTTCCATGTGAAGCCAATGTCTGCTCAGACCGACAGCTTCTGCTCCCTTTCTGACCGTTTAGCGTCAGCGCATGCATGATTCTCTGTGTGAGAGTCAAACCTTGGCAGTGGCCCAGGTACTTGACTTCAATGCGCTCCTGCCTCTGACAGGACGCCTCCTTCACCTGGCAGGGGTTGTCATAGGAGTGACCGTCTGAGGCACACACGGGGTTGAAGCTGATGTGTGAACAATCGATGTTGCAAACGCACCTGAAGAACAGAAAACACGTTAGAGTTCTATGCTTTTTTTAACCCTCCCACATTGTTAATGGTGTCAGACGGACCTCTGGTGTGTTTTTATTTTTATTTTAATATTTTTTAACGGGTGCTTCACTTCCCTACATTTTAAACCCTGTTTAGCCACCCCCTGTCCTGGTGGGGTCACCTGATTGGAAAGTGGAAGAGTTAATACATTCATGTATTTATGCAGAATACAAGAACATTAGAACGTCTGAAAGTGTGTGTGTGTGCGTGTGTGTGTCCGACTAAAGGACACACCTGATGCAGTGAGGGATTAGAACTGTGATAAGAAAATAAAGGGTTAGTACAGCTTACACTCAGTCAGAATGTTGGACCATGAACAATAATCCTGTTCTAACTGAGTTTTAGCTCATTCAATTTCACACAAGAGCAAAACGCCAACCTGCAAGACTGACAGACAAATGATGTACCTCTACAGCAAGAAGCAATTAATGGTAGAAGAGCTGCAGATAACAAGGCTGTACAGTCGACTTTGCAGAGAAAATAAAAAGTTGTCATTTATTTTATCTGAGACTGAAAACGGCCTAAATGGAAAATAACTTCATTGTGCAGAAAACCAATTAAAGACTCACCAAAATACTTGTTTTGAGGATAAAACTGAGGTTGTTCAGTTGAACTATCATCGGCGAGAGATTATAATGTAGAGATTATGACGTGAAGGTTTTGTTGGATTCACAGACGAGCCGGAAAAGTTCAATAACTGGTTGGAATTTCTCTGGATTGGGACTTAAGACACTTTGTTATTAAAACAGAATAAATGAAGAATTTTGTGTAAAGGGTCATAAATTAACCTTATCGTCCCAAATTCACCAACAGAGTTCAGACGGCTACCTCTGGTTTGGTAGGGCCAGCGGGAGTCGTGTGAGGCATTTAGCAGCATTTGAGGCTTTTCATGTCCTTTTTCCTGCTGTAACCTCTGCCCTTCATTAACATGCTTGAGTCTAATTTGCACCGGGTGCATCTGCAGCGCGTTACAGCAGTGCCACATCCCCGTAGCAAATGGAAGACAGCATAGTCTATGGTTTGATTCCCACCAGACGCAGCATGGAACGCTTCAGGCATGTTCCAGACGCGACCTCTGCACAATAACAGGATTGGGTTATATTCTTGAAGCAGCACATATCTGGGTCATGTAAAACTCTGCAGTTAGCTAGGACTAGACAGGAAATAGCACTGTATCAGTGTAAAGCATCTAGAAATTTTCAAAATAAAAGACTAATGCAGATTTGCACTTCCGTATATGTAGAAATGATGTTTTTACCGGTGACAGCTCTTTGCTTTCTGCGTCTTTTCAGAGGAGCAACGATGTGTTTTTCAGCATGAACAAAGCTTTTATTCTGGCAGAGGGAACTCGCAACATGAAGACAATCTAAAGAGTCCACCAACATGAACAGCCGCTCCACGACGCTACTGCCCAGAGAGGATTAGGGGAGACGCTGGGAAGGAGAAAGCTGGAGGACTAACCCCGGTTTCACACTGCAAGCATCAGCTGAACGGAACAGCAGCGGAGCGGCTCACTCGCGAACTTCAAAGCGGCCCTTTTCACACCGGGAGAGTCTTGGCCGCGGCACGGCTTCCTCGCCGCGCCTCTCTGTACCCGCGAGATTCTAAAATCCCTCGAGACTTCCGACACCTTCCTCATCAAGAGATCACAACCCCTGCGAGGAATCACACCGTTGCACTTCTCGAAAGAAACCGGTGGTAAACAAAGCCGTTCGGTCACACGTGCAGACCTAAGTTACACATAACATCGCAACGTTGCATTTTATTTTGAAAATAACCGGGGATTTTACACTGAAACCGTGTGGTTTCCTGTCTCGCACTATGCGAACTGCGGAAATTGACGTGTCCCAGAAGCGGCTTGCGGAAAAAATATAACTCGATCCTATCTTTAGCGGCGCGGCGCGGCACGCCGCTTCTGGGACGCGCCTGGAAATTGCCGCGTCGCGACTGGTTAGAAACGCTCCATAGACTATAATTGGATTCTATTGAAGCGGTGCCGCTTCGCTGCATTCCGTTCCGCTGATGCTTGCAGTGTGAAACCGGGGTTAAGGTAAAACTTGCATTGCACAACAGAACTGCTTCCCCTGACAGTGTCTTTATTAGGCTTGTAATTGAGCCTAATTGAATTTCCAAACTCTAAAATGTCTTGAAATGTCTGGTTCTGGATTGCAGGTTAGAATTAGGACGTTTCTCACGGTGGACGGATGTAAACTAAACCACAAAGGGTTCTTCATCTCCAGTGTCATTCCTTTTTTATTGCCAGTGAGATTCTGGCTTCAGCCCAACACAGAACATCTATAAAGAAAGTTTTGCTCCTCGTTGTCTATAATTGTTTCATTTCCAAGCTTTTACTTCATTTTTTTGGTTCCCTAAATTATTGAGTGAAATTTAATTAAAGTCCTATTTGTCCAATCTCGTAATCAGGTGAGATTTTTTTAAATGAGCCGGGTTTCGTGTTCTCTACCTGGTGAATCATTCATGTTCTTCCATTAAGCTGATGTCTTAGTGCTGCACTGCGATGACGACTTTCCCTTCGGGGAGTTTAGGTGATCATTTCATCTCCAACAGATTAACTGGGCAATCTGCTGTTGCACCCACATTTTAGATGGAATTCTTTTGCATGCCACGTATGCTTCTGTGCGTGTGAGCGTGTGCGTGTGTGTATTCTATTATACCTGCACTATGACCGTTAAGTGTGTGGCGGGCCTGATCAGCAGAAATTACACCCAGATTGCGTTCCACAGACAGTTGGTGCTGAGCAGTGCTGAACGCACGACTCAGTAATTATAAATCTGTCATTACTCTGCCGGTCTTTTCTTTCTCCCCTGGTGCCGAGCTTCCGGTAAAGCATGGGCATTCGACTGTCTCACAGCTGCGTTTGCATGCACGCCCACGTGGGTGCCCACGAACGCAAAAATGTGTTCACACACACGCACACACACACCTTCACAGTCAGTAGGGATGATTCCTAGCTGCTGAAGCTGATGTTGACTGAGAAGTCGTGCAGCAAAGCGTGGCACTGTCGGACGGTTGCTGCTATGATGACTCAGCAAAGTGAGCGAGAAGAGGAGGAAAGCATCAGAGAGGACAGGATTGTGGAAATGTTGGCAATAACCTAAAAATCCCAGATGGTGAGCTGCAGAAGATATCCTGCAGCTTAGTAAAAATATAATTTTAAACGTTTTACTTAAATTAAGAAGAATTATTTACATTTGTCTGTAATTAATGCTGCAAAAATGAGCTGAAACTGCATTTATTCATGGTCAATGCAAAGATGTGACAGAGAACTGACACAGCTGGGGAAAAAGCCTTTTTTTATCCTTTCCCTACATCCAAAGTGTTTAGACAGTTATGGAGAAAGCTGCCTGAAATCTTAGCAGTAATTTCTCCCGAGGAACTGATAAAACGTACCTGTTGCACGTTGTGCTTTGCTAACTGTTCACATACTGCAGTGAAGAATAGCTTCCTTCATATGTCTGAGGGTTGCTGCAGACATCTTTTGGAAGCTCCGTTTCTGTTTTATTCTGTTTCTCCAACCGAACCTGAGCTAAGCGGGCGTTGCACCGGTCTGTCGTGGTGAAAAGAGAGCCGAGCCAGAAGGTTGATTGACCGGTCGATCTACGTTCCTACCCTCACCTACTTGTGGTCACGGCTTTGGGTGGTGACGGAAAGAATAAGATCGCGGATACAAGCAGCCGAAATGAGTTTTCTCTGCAGAGAGGCTGGGCTCTCCCTAAGATATGAGGTGAGAATGTCGGTATCTGAGAGGGGCTCGGAGTAGACCCGCTGCTCCTCCACAACGAGAGGAGGCAGTTGAGGTGGTTCGGGCATCTGGTCAGGAAGCTTCCTGGACCTTTCTGGTGAGGTTTTCCTGGCACGTCCAACTGGGAGGAGACCCAGGACACGTTGGAGGGACTACGTCTCTCGGCTGGCCAGGGAACGCCTTGGGATTCCCCGGAGTAGCTGCCCAAGTGGCTGGGGAGAGGGCAGTCTGGGCCTCCCTGCTTAGGCTGCTGCCCCCGCGATCCAAAATAAGCAGACGAAAATGGTTGGATGGAATAATCAATTGATATTCAATAATTGTTTCATTTAAAATGTGATGCAGGCAACAGACACAGGGATGAAATAATGGTTTACTTCCTTGTAAAAACAAATCCTGAAACCATTAAATGTATTTTGTGGCGGTACACGATCCTGATTAAAACAGGGACTGTTCAGTGCAGATTAAATACTTAAATCTCAATGCATAGTAATTATTTTAAAAATTACAAAGAACTCAATAAACTTGATTTTTTAAACATAATTCAAAATGTTAAATTATCCAAAAATAATAATTATAGAAGGTAAATGGAGAAGACTTGTATTTGACTAAGACCTGGAACATTTAAGGTTCCACATCAAAGAAAATGTGTGAATTTTATATGAACAGAAATGTACTTTGCATCAAGTCAATTGTTAAGACGAAGAAAAATGAAGCAGATTAAGATATTCAAATACAAAATTCTCCTATTTCCATCTGTTGAAGCCAGAATTATCTGCGTAGCTGAACGCTTCTCGGGGCAAGAGACGAAAACATTTTTTAGCAGTGTGGGTTAACCTTTAAAGATTATGCAAGACTTGTTGTTAAATTTGTAAAAGCAACCCTTAAGACAAGATTAGTCGTACAATCAAAGCGTCGTCATTATCATAAAAGAGGATCTAAATGGGAACAGTTTCAACATGAAAGGAGACAGAAAAAAGAACTGAGGAAGGCGAATCAAAGCAAAAAGATCTATAAAAAAGAGATTTCCTCACATCCGCCAATTAAAAAGAGAAGATATGATATAGGCTCATCATCACATGCATGGATTCATGCACACCACCACTAATCCCAACCACGGAGGAGCTTTCCATCTCGAGAGAGGCTGCTGCTTGGTTGGCTGCTGATGCCTGGGCCGCATACATTT